ATTCCCTGACATGCCCTACGTACAGATGCAATTGTATATCTTGTTTGCGTCACATTATCCAAAAGGGCCAGACGAATTTCAGTCTCAGCTCTTGGCATTGCATTCCGAACGACATTGCCCTGGATCTCACAGGCTTCGGGTTTCTGATGGCGGACATGTTTTCGAAAGGGCCCATAATATGCAGTGGGGCCAGAACTTTGTACTCAAGGTCCGTTTCTCTATAACATCTTAAACATGTCCCAAACTTATCATGTGTGTATGTGTGGATCGTTTTGTTGGTGACCCTATCCCTTCCGCCGTCAGGACTTGGACTCTCTGGAGCTCGGCGGTCAGATTGCCTGGGTGGAGCCAGAGCTCATGGAAAGGGTGCAAGGCACTTGTAACTAGTAAGGGATGCCAGGAGCCTCTCTCCAACACACGATCTAAACGTCGCTGTATGGCATTAAGCTTGTTGCGTGACTGCCTTTCATCAGGATCTAGGTGACAACATGCTCTGACCGGAATCGGAAAAAGGCCTAATTTTGCTGGGGTGACATGGGTTTGTCGAAGTTCACGTCGATTGGCGTGGGGTTCTGCACTGTTACAAGGTCTTGTGTGGGAGGAAGAAGGGTTGGAAGAAGTGAGCTGTTCTGGCTTGAACCCTGGCCTGATTGTGAGTTTCGTTTTGTGCAAAGAGGGATGGCCGGCGCTTGGTGGAGAGAACCGAAAACCCGAACAGTCAAGGATTCGGAGTTTCGCCTGACATAACATGCTGTCGTTACTCTATCATGGGCTTCCTCAGTACTTTGCCCTTGTCTTCAGCACCCAGCTGGGAGCACTCAACCCAGTCTTGTGAGGCTACATGATCTACTTGGCCATCCTCTCCGATGGCACGGGCAGGTCCCAGGCGAGACGTTGCGATTGCCGCAGAAATGCATTGACTGACGAAACACCTTGCTTGTTGACGAGGTCATCAGTAAGGCGAGTTGTATTCTCCTGCTCATGCTTTCAGACAGTTTGGTTGGATGCTGTCGCATGCCTTCAGCGTTTGCCTCTCTTCGAAATTAGGAAGGTTTGTTCGAGACCTGGACCTGTGGCAAGGTTGGAGGCGAAGTTCCTGCGGGCACCCACGACACTGCACTCTTCCCAGCTGCTCGTCAGCAGCTGCAAACTGCGAGTGCAAAGCCTTCGACCATAGAAAGTTGTGTAAGCAGTATTCCCGAGCTCAGACTCTGATTTGATTCGAAGACTCGCCCGGCACTGCAGGAGCAGCCCAGAGGCGCCTTTGACTTCTTCACAGTAGCTGGGCACGGAGTTTTGAGCCATGAGCTGTTGCTTGCTATTCTTGGCGTGACGAGACAAGGTTACAGTTTGTTGCTCAAGTCAATTGACATGCCAACATTGGCTCTCAGATGGGCTGCTGTGGCTGTAGGAGGATGTGCACAACATGTGGTCTCAAAACACAAACACGACAGGCTCGTGCCCCATCTTGATGCATGCATAGAACCTATGATTCTTGCCGACCGAGGTGTACACAAGGCCATGACCGGCTTGGGGTGGGCATTCCATGTTCGGCTTGACCCTGACACCGAAGCCCGGAATCCTGCAACTCGAACGGCTCTTCGACGAGGTTCTGGGCACAAGAAATGTGTGCTTACCTCGCTGCTTCTGGAAGGTCCAGTCTCGTGGAACAGACCACGCCGGTGTTCCTGGCCATAGAGGCGACTCTTGCTTCCTGTGCACATGTGCAAGTCATTCAATTAATCCATCAACTCACTCACGACGTGACAGCTTGTACTTGATGGCATGGTGTATAGTGGTTTTGTGAAACTACTCAGCAGACTCCAACTTGCCCTGCTATTGAAGTAGCAAGTGTTACAGGACGAAGTTTCCTATGCCCGCAACGTGAGCTTTGTCGACGACGACTTGGACGAGACTGAACTAGGCACCTCAGTGAGCAACATGATTTCGTCATGGTGGCCCGACACACGGAGGAAAAAGAAGTCTCGCCCGCTTAGCTTTAGCTATTGGCTGGGCTCTTTGAACTGGCGAAGCAGATGCTGACACTTTTGTTGGCAGGTGGTTGGCTGCAGTGGCGCATTCCGGAGGATGCCAGCGAGGTATCCCGGCGAGCATTCGTCCTCCGGACATTTTGCCCGAAGTCTTGGAGACAAGATTGCGCATTCTTTGCACGCGTCGGTTCTGAAGGGGCGTGATGCTGTTACCTTTCTGCAGCTTAACTGTCAATTGTTGCTGCAGCTCCGTGATTGTTGAGGGCGAAACATCGTGAGCAAGATACTTTTGCGTCTTCGTCATGTCACACTCGAACTTTAACTTGTGCAGATGTGACATCTTCGTGCTGGGTTCGACTCGTTGGCTTGACTCTTATAGATTGATTCTGGACATGTGGATGCCGACGAGCAACAGTGTCATCAGCATGCAGAGTCATTGCAGTCATAACAAGGGCATCTCATAGCAAGACATTGCGAAGGTGGTTGAGGCACTCTATACATCTATGTACATGCATTCGTACATACGTTCGTACGTAAGTGCGTACACCCATACATACGGACAAGCCAATGCACGAACAAGCAAACAAACAGACGGACAAAACAACAAAGAGACAACGAAGCACGTAAACATACATACACACGTGCATATGTACACACACATGCACAATATATGCATTCATACATACGTACATCCATACTTGCATACACAACACAACACACCTACATATATTATGCACACACACGGAGCTAGACGGATACACACACACACACAAGTGTGCACATGTATATAGATGGATAGATGGATGGACGGACGGACGGATGCATGAATGGATTGAGAGAAGGATGGAGAGATGGATGGATGCATAGCCAGATCGATAGATCGACAGATAGATAGTTAGATAGATCGATAGATCGATCGATAGATAGCTTGGCAGGAAGGCGAGCAGGCAGGTAGGTAAGGAGGCAGGACAGTCTTGGCTCTTACTTCTGCGTCAATATTGTTTTGGGCTTGCTGCACGGCTTGCTCAAGCCGCGTTGGTACTGCGTGTGATTGTCCGGTGTTGTTATCTACTCAGACATTTGTGACTGAAGCGGTCGCGGGGCGGGGGCACCATTTGGTTTTGACACTCCTCTGCCAAACCGTGGAAGACCGTCAAGGTGTGAAAGTTCATCAAAGAAGTCCAAGATGTTTGCTCCGTCCCGCATTTGGGCTGGGGAGAAAATGGAATCGAGCCGGCCTTGGGGACGTAGGGCAACAGCTCAAACTTTGGCTTCGGAGCTTCGGACTCGAGAGAGGTCTGTTGAAGTGGAGCCCAGCACTACGTGACAAGAGCTTGATGAGCATTGAGGGCCACAATACCGAACACTGAAAGTATGTACGCAGTCACTTCCCCAATTGTCGAATGTGTCTGTTGCAGCGGAGCATCGAGATACGAAAAAACAAGACGGCGGAATTTAGAGGACTATCTACATAGTATTAACAGCAGCATCAACAAAAGCACACAAGTCACGGCATGAAGTTGCGTGTCATTTTCAAGTACATGGTCGGGTCTGTTTCACTTTCACGAGATTCATTATTAATCACACGAACCATCAGTTGCAGCTGCAACATTATCGAAGGAGAGGTGCCGATGCCGACTGACTCGATTCATGCGAGATCAAAGCTATATCTGCAAAAAACATTGGTATTTATGTCTGTCCGTTGTGGTTGCAAGATCGTGATGACCAGTGTCCTTGAGCTCATGCCGATGCAAGGTCACGCACTACATTGTGTACCTGGCTGAGAACCTGTGCTCCGGTGTAGCATCCTTTTTAATTGTTTTCCATTCCACCCCACCTCCACCTCAGTGCACAACCTGAATCGCAAGTCACCTCTCAACAACCCCGAAGCCCTAGCAGGTGTCACCTGTTCGCTTTGCATCGAGATTCGCGTTTCCAGGAACGAAGCTGGCGACAACCGAAGCCTGCTGGGAAACGTGACGGCAACTCGGACAGATTATGGTCTGGCCGAGACACCGCTCAATGCTGTTATCTTGACAGCTGCCTTAGCCTGCGATGTTTGATGTTTCTCTCGATCTTTTGTCATCTCCTCACATCGTATGGCACCTGTCTTTGACGGCAACGGCATCCAAACAGAGCAACGTGTCAGGCCACTTGCGTCAGATATCATCGAGCGTGCAAGGAATGGTTGACCCAGGAGGCTACGCCGTGTGAACCCGGTGCTCTGCCCTAATCTGCTCGAGGCAGAAGAGTTGCAGACAGTTTAGCATCTCCATCAGCACGAAGATGCGGGTCTAGTTGCCTGCACATGGGCTTGCCAAGAGCATCGAACGATTTGGATGCAGTTCATTTATCATTTCATGTATTGCAACAACCATCTACTGTTGATGGTTGCTGTTGGCATCTGCGTATTCTGATTACTGAACGTCTTCGTTCTCTCTTTCTCTGTCGCTCCTCTTTGAGCTTCCTTTTCAAGGGTGTTTGCATGGCGACTGGCTTTCCTGCTGCTTTGCAGTCGAGTGCTGTGTAGGCCAGATTACGACTACGGACTGAACGTGTAATGCTTTGAGCTTGAGGTCAGGTTGATGAATGCTTGAAGACTTTTAGCACTCTGTGGCGAGAGGTCGGAACGCATGAGTTCCTCGTTCCGGCAGACACCGCCTTGGAATCATTCAGGCTACCCGAGTCCAGGCTTTATGCTTCTGGTAGGTTCTAGAACTCAGCTGCATGGCTGAATCTACTGTCTCTACCCGTTTGTGTCAAGTGGTGAGTTCGACAACCTTGACAAGCACGAGCCCATGCCAACGCACGCAGGCGATAGCCTAAATTCACCCGGCCCACGTTCCTGGAGCCCTGAAGCAGAGTCCTGCTTGTTATCTGAGACTCTGTTTAGTCAGTGCCTCTGTCGCCACTGCAAGCCTCCTTGTGGTCATTCCGGGTCCAAGGGTGGCCCCCGTTCTCTTGCATTTTCGTTTCCATCCTCACTCACCAGCCAGCTGCTAGCCGCAGGTTCCTGACAGTCTTCGCGCGCTCCAGCTTGGCCGAGCAGACGACTCCACGCTATGCCGCCGCCTGAAGACTGGAAAAGCGCAAACATGCCGGTGCAGAGCAGACCAGCTTCAGGTCGAAATTATCGACACCGTGTCCAGTGTCTCGAACATTGGATTCGCTGACAAGGCCTGCCGTCACACTTTCACATCGCTCCTTGGAGCCTTGCAGGCTTTGCAGTCTAAGTGTCCGTCAGGACCTCGATTGGGATGAGCTGGGCGGCTACGTGGACTGGCAGGCTCCCGCGAGCCACAGCCAAGTCCTCTTCTACGAGTCTCTCTGCCGCACATGTGTTGCACTGGGTTCTTGTCTCGCCATTGAAGTTGTCACCTTGAGTCCTTAGAGAATCCGAACAGGCTGTACTTGGCGGAGAGCTTCATGGGCAAGAACCGCCTGAACTATCCCAGCGGTAGCATTCCGGTCGGGAACACAGAGGTGCTGTGGCCCGCCGAGACGCCCAAGGAAACTTGGCAGGATTTGCATGTGCCGGGTGCGGACAGCGAACGAAGAGCTGTACAGTGTGAAGCATGTGCTCCACACTTGTCGCGTCACAGTGACGCCTTTTCTGTAAGGCAGCCTTCACTCACTTCGTCGTCTACACGAAGTCCTGGCTTGCAGAACAGACTACGCCAGTGGCTTTGGAATTTGAGGACAAGGCACGACGACACAATCATACCGGAATAAAAAGGCGATGCCATCCGAGTGTTGAGTGACGCCAATGAAGTTGCGAGTGCAGCAACTATCTCCACACTTGCGTTTGATGGTGTGGTTGAGGGTCGAGAGTCAGCAAATTCGGGCAGGTGTCGCTGGTCCGTGACATCTCCTTTCCTGATCTCGATCTGGACCTGGAGGATGCGTGCACGTGTTGTGAGATCCCCGCTTGAAAACCTCCTCGGGGGTCTCAAGTCGGGACCTGAACAACGCCAAAGCACCTTTTCGAGCTTTGGACCTTGCAGGACATTGGAGGGACCATCTCCTGGGAAGCACCGAACGACACCAGCCAGGTGCGAATGCACCTGGTAACGGCATGCCTCATCACATGATGCGACATCAAGCGCTTAAGATCCATGCATGCCTAGGCCTCTCCAGCACCGGAAACACAATATGCTCAATATCTTTTATATATTATATCGTCTATATAATATCTAAATCACACGCTGCGTCACGAAGGGCATGCTTGTCTGCTGCGACACAGGTGACTCACTATGTCGTGTACTTGGGCCAGGCGTGTGGGAGTGGGCAGAGTGAAGATGTTTTGCTGCAAGAGAAGATCACGTCAGATGCGGAAGCCCCGCATTTCGGTCGACGGCCTGTGCAGGCGAACACGACTGATGGCTGCAACACCAGCTACCAGCTGCAGCCAGAGGAAGCCAACACCTCAACGGCCTTTTCAGCTCCTTGGTCGCTCGGGCATTTAGGCCAAATTTCCTAGCAGTCGAACTCTTGGAAAAGACGTTGTGCATTTCTCGAGCGAAAGTCACAGGACTGGTGCCTGCTGACCTACATCGGCAATGCTTCCTTTGGGGAGCACGACCTTTTCATCTCTCCAGACACAGGCAGGTATGAGGTCAAAGCTTTGGGGCACAAACTCTGTCTGCTTTCCACAATTACATTGGGTGCAACGGTCACATTGGACACTCGGCTTGCAACGTATTGAATTCAAGAAGAAACAGAAGTTGAAGTTTCGTGGCTGGCGAGCAAGCTGCTTGCGTAGACCTTGACTTCAGTTACTTTAGTTTACCCGTTCTCAAGCCCTGCAGGTGTCCCCCCGTACACACACGTGGCAGTCTTCAGCTTGAGCTCTCTGGTGGAGCAGACCACTCCCATGACCCTGGTCTTCTGGGATGAGATTGCCAGCGTGTCCAATATCAGGCTGCCAAGGGAAAGCTGTGAACCAGTAATTACCATGTATTTGGCATCAGGTCCTGCACGGCATTTGTTCGGCCTAACTTCCCGAGGAGTAAGGTGAATTCCGAGAACGGGTCCCCGAATCAGGTGTTGTGCAATGAGCCCTTTGCTGAAGTCTGAGTGCGTGATGCCTTGGGACTTCTCTCTAGTTTGTTGCACATCGGAACCCTGGCCAACGCAGCATCCCGCAGCTGCCTGTGCTTAACTGTCTCTGACTGCATGTGAAGACACTCACAAGGGTCTCTTGCCCCGGCCCCCGGGTGCAACATGCAATGTGGTTTGAAAGCACTTCTTGATCCTTCGCGTGCCCCGCAGGTTCGTAGACCAAGACCTCGATGAGGTCGATCTGGGCGGAGATGTGCACTGGGAGGCTCCAGAATCGATGCGGAGGCCACGGGTGAACTGGGTGCCCAACGGCGCCACATTCGCGATGGAGTCGGGGTTGGGGCGTAGTGTCGCCGAGGCGTTTGAGAAGCTTGCGGCATCGCAATCGAGAGTTAGCTTGAATTTGTGGAGTGAGATGTCCCGACAGTTTGGATCATCGCGATCGCTGCAGGGTCTCAGCGTACCTTGTGAAGCTGGCCACCGATGAGCCAGTTCCGACCGACCACTCGCAGATAGGCAGCTTGCTGGGAGGGAGGTATATGTAGACTGTGAACATGCTGGCGTTGCGAGAGTTCCTTGTGCAAATTGGTTTCTCTGGTCGAGGCCTCGATGTCCCAGCAGGCACATACAATCTCCTGGCACCAGCAGACATGAACCCATTGCACTACACTCGGATCGTCGTTTACACCCGGCAGCTTGGATTTCAATCGAGGCTGATTCTTCAATCTAGTTACTTGTGCTACCTAGTTGTGGACGGAAAGGCCAGGACGCTGAAGCACTCACGGCATGTGATTATATTGGCAGTCCGGAAGCTGGGCCATTTCGCATCGGCATCTGATTTCGCATGCCACAGTTAACATCGGTGTCGTGGTCCTGCGAGAATCTTGTGACAGGCAAGTTGGCATGACTGCCGGATGTGCCATGAGGTCCACGCTTGCGGAGCAGACAACTCCCGCGGGCTACCACTTTGTGGACAAGTCGTCGCCTGTGCTGATTCTTGCCTAACCAAAATTTTGCTCCAGTGGTAATTGAAGAAAAGTCCCGAGCTTCATCTTCCGAACATAAACGTCCACAATGGGACGGGTACCGGACAGACCTTGTTTACAACTTGAGGCTGGCTACCAAGGCTGACGTAATTACAGTATAAGTGCAACCGTCAGCAATTAAATGGATCACATCGGAGGAATGTGTCCTTCTTTGACTACGACCTGGACGAAACCGATCTGTACGGAGACCTTTTGTGGGAAGCACCAGACGACGAAGAGCAAGTGCCGGCCTCTCAGCATCACGGCAACCGCCAGCATGCAACGTTTCGAGACCATTCAGAAATATCGCCGTCACCCTCGCTGATGGTGGAGCATGCGTCTCCGGACCCCCTGCCCTCCCCGCCCATCCCTCCCTACCTACCTCCCTTCCTTGATTCATGCTCTTTGTGGGGAGGGTGGTAGTGGTGCGTACTGGGTGCCTTTGAGGCTTGAGTACTATGTGTACATGGCGGAGAACAGCACCGGTAAAGAGCGGTCCTTGGTGGGCATCGCTCCCCGCGGAGTGGCTCGTCTGTGTACTGCAGAGGTCTCCACGTTGTGCGAGCTCGTGAAAGATAGGTTGATATCGCACTCTACAATGCGAGGTGTACAACATGAGCATCCTGGCTGAGACACCGCTGGTGAACTACACCCACTTCCTGGTCTACGCAGCTTCTCCGCTAGCAGAGCAGCTTGGACAAGCTAGATTCATGCGGCCAGCAGATGCAGAAGAGTGCATGTAGTGTATAGTTTGGTGAGAAGACCGCCCAGCAGACGGTTTCCTTCGGTTTGCCCCCGGTTGCAGGCAGACCACGCCCGTTGCCTTGGAGATTTTCGATGCCGTGGCCAGCGTGTCAGACATAGTCTTCGAAGACAGGGCGTGGATCCCAGGGGAGCCCGCAACAGTCTGGAAGCACGACGTCAATGTGAATCTGACCGAGGATTTAGATGTTCAGGAGATTGGCGGCAATGTCTCATGGATCGCACCCATGGTCGAGGATGGGCGAATGTTAGCAAATTGGGGCGATCTTGCCTATACTGTAGGCTCTGTACATTAGTTCAGACTCATGTAACCGTGGGTTCGATTGTCGCACCGCCAGTCGCAGGATTCTGCCACGGGCATGGGAGCAGCCCTTCCAATGTCCCACGTTTTGTTGCAGGATCGGGTGCAACTGTATCGCATCTACGTGGCGAATTCGCCAACAGGTGCGATCTGAAGTTTGCCCGAGCTCTTCAAGAGGACTCGCTAGAAGGTCACAGAAGGCAAGCAAGGCCAGGAGAGAGGCCCGGAAGTCGAAGTCTCCACCTGATAGACTGCCACACTTGCGGCACGCATCTGTCGATAGTGTTGTGACCTCTGTGTCGTCTGAATCTCCATCACTACAAATCCCAAACCCGGCTCCTTCGGATGCCTTGTCTGAGGGCCGTCTTGCCACGAGCTGATAAACAGGTCGGGGTTTTGGGCTTAGGGATTAGGGCTCCTTCCCAATGTCCGGGAGGCTCTGCGCGCTTCGAGGTTGCTTCTGAGCCTGCCGGCGAAGTTGCCTCCAAGGCAGATCCTACTTTAAAAAGTGTGCCGGGCAACAACTGCAAATTCTGCACCGCAAGAGCCTTTCTGCACCTGGGCGCCTTCCCGCAACCCTCACTGAAGCAATTACAGGTGGCTTCGGAGACGCCTATTCCCACAATGCCGCCCGGGGCTCGCAAGACAGTCGGTGCAGTGCGGGGCCCGAACTCTGCGGACTGCGCTCAGGTACCTCCTGATCTACACTCAATCAATGCTGATGGAGCAGCAGCCTGCCCTGAACGTGTGACGGATTTCAAATTTTGTTGTTGAGGCGTACTACCTCATAGATAAAGAATCTCTCCCTGAAGCATCATCGGTCTGGGCACTGCCAGGACAACCCCCGTCTGGCACGACATCACTGCAGCTCGTCTGGACAGGAGTAGTGAGGCTAGACAAGTTTGGAACGCGAGCACACAGCACATCAAAGCACAAACCCGCAAGAAGATCGCCGCACAGAGCAGGGTTTTGTGCCGTCCTCTTACTGGGCTGTTTGAGTTCAGAGCATTGACAGAGCTGGTACAAGCGGCTCCGCTTTCCGCCCTTGCGCAGCCTCAAGACCCTGCAGACCCTACAGTGGTAGCGCACGGAAAGACCTCTCTCCAAACCACTTGCCTCAGATCATCACATGGGTGACATGTATATAGTACAATCGCCATTTTGGCGTGTGCCGGGGAACATCCGTACATCCACCTATTGTGTTCCTGGCTCAGGATACGGCAAAACTGTAGCACGGCTTATAGCATTGCCCGTTTGAAGTCTGTTTCGGTCCCCGCTTAGCATCCCCGCAACCACCCTGGCGGTACGATGCTGCAGCCGGGAGAGTCTTCAGAAGTGGCTTCATTCAAGGACAACTTTGCCTCAGTGTCGAACATCTCGTTTCCTGAGTTCGATCTTGATGCAGGCAGGGTGATGCTGTGCTTGTCAGTGAAGCGGTCTGCCGGCCGAACATGATTCAAGCAGTCCGACTTACTTACAGGCGACTTGGGTGGCGAGTTGTCGTGGGATCCGCCAGAGGACAACTCTTCTGTGGCGGTTTCGGAGGAATAAATTCGTGAGGATTCTGCCTCAACTCCAACTGCAGGATGACAGCCTCGTGGCTTCCTACAACATCTATTTTGCCAAGGTGCGATGAGTTCAACCCTCTGAGCCGCGCTGCGGCGTTCCATCCCTAAGCCAAGAGGATGTTTCATGCCCAGAAACATCACGTTTGCGATGAGTCGACGGCCTTTTCCCCCCCCCCCCCCAACAGGTGGTGCTGGCGAACACCACCGAGTGCAAATGGGAGGCCTCCACGTGGTATTTGGGGGCTGCAGGGTTTTCCTGCAGGCAAGAAAGGGGAAAGTGGCTAAGCTTGGGCTGACACAGTCATGTATGATGTGTAGTCCAGCTTGGGACTTCAAGTTTGATGCCAGTGGGTCGTGTAGAGGAAACATGACATCACGGTCCGGCCGAACTGCGGGTCGCTTGAAACAAAGCGTGGAACCTTGGCAAGCGTAAATATATTCACCTCCTACCCAAGTTTTCGACACGTGCACCCACAACCAGTGACATTGTGCGGCAAGGTAGGGTCTTGCAGGGACTGTTTCCAGTTTCAGGTCGTGGCCCCGAAGGTGGCGTTGATCTCCGGTGTGTCAAGACCTTAGCATTTCCCTACGCATTGCGCACTTCAAATGGCTCGGCCGGGTTGCGGTTTTGGGGTGTTTCGCATCATTGTGGGTTTCCGCTCGGTCCTCGGTCCCCCACTCGTCAGGTCAATAGTGCAGCACGGCGATTGGAGTCGGGGACGGTCTACGGTAGTGTCTGTTTTTGGATGCAGGACTCGGTGGTCAAGGGTCTTGAAGGATTTCGGCTGTAGGAGTTGACGCTTATATACGCTTATGGTTCATCATGCAGTAGCAATCAGTGGCAGAATAGGTATGGAGAAGAGTGTGTGTTGAGAAGTCCTGGATATCTTCCATGTAAAGTCTGACTCATGTTCGAACTCGGTTATTTGACGGTTGGACCTACTTCTTAACCTTTCCCTTCGACACGGCATGATACTGCTCGGGCTTGGCATTTTTTCGGATCCAAGGACCAGCTTCGCCATGGATGCCGCTACGGCCAATGTCGTGGAGGTTCTCCAAACCAATTCTCGGGGATACCAAGAGCTTGCGACGTGTCCTTGTTTTCATCCGCAGGCTGCCGTAAAGGCTGCGCTGGCCAGCAGCGCCCTGGCAAGGAACCGGGGTTCGCAATTATAGGCGTCCGTCGGTCTGCGCGGCTGTATTGTTACATTGTGAGACAGACATCGGTTTTCTTGCATTACCACGACCGGACCGCCACGTAAGATACTAGAGGTGCGGCAAGAGCTCATGGAAAGACCTGAGGTTTCTCGATTCCAGAAGCAGCTATCAGCGTGTCTGTGGCGCTGTTCGGTGATGGGAGACGGCTGGAGGTGGCGTCGGTCCAGGAAAAAGGGGGAAGAGGGTATGTGCACCAAAGCAAGCAGCGGGCCTAGCAAAGAGTCCATGCCCTTTAAATCATGTCCATCGATCAGTCCCAAGCGGGCTGCTGGTTGGGATCGAGATTCCAGATATCATGTTGTTGATTTCCAATTAAGTTTGAAGGTTAAGAGGTTGCAGGTTCAATATCGGGTGAAGAGTTGGTAGTCTTAGATGAGTTTAGTTACTCGGGCACAGGAATCGTCTGTGATGCCGGAGAACAAGATGTGGAACGTGTCCCTGGAGCTGACCATCCTCAATCCTGAGGCCTTCGGATGCATGTTCAGAATATCAGCTGAACACGGCTCGACCGTGATTTTACAGACGAAGACTGAGATCAGCAAGACCTGACCTCGAAAACACCCAACCACCCATCTACAGAGCAGCCGAGCAAAATCCAGAATCTAGCACCATGACAAACACAAAGCAACCTTGATCGAATCATCCGGCACCATCTCTGCGCAAGTCTCTAAAGACAGCACCGTCGAAGGTCGAACGACAGTTAGAATCGCTCCGCAACGGCGCTGAAGACCTGGCCATGGCTTTGGGCCGGGGCCCTCAGAGAGCAGCGGGGCATCGGGATTCACGAGAGCATTGGAAACAACACAATCCAAGAGTCCAAGATGTAATAATATTGGGGTTGAGCAGTTTCATAGTATCATAAACGAAGCACAGGATTGTGGGTTTTACACGGAAAGGCAGAGGTTCGAAATATCTTTGGAAAGGTTCCAGGGTCGTCCACACAGACATTCAGGAGCTTGGGCTGCAATTGCTGTTTTCTGTTACACTGTTACAGATTTGGAACGCAGTAGGTTTGAAGTAAAGCAGTTTGCAAAGTTAGCTGCATGTGAGAAAGAACTATCCGTAGCCTGACTTTTTCAACTCGAAAATACACTGTCTCTTCGCATAAGTGGCATTGTACATGCAGTCATGCTTGTAGCAGCCCTACTAAGGTCTTGCCAAGGATCCGACAGCACTCGCTGCACTTGCTGAAAGCCTCGCCAAACTGAAGGCACCCTGTTTGACCCGGCGCCGCAGTAACTGTGAGAACTACGTAACTACCCAGCCATCCACCACCACAAACACTGCTGCTACTCCTACTCGTACTGCTCCTCATACCTTTACGATTTACTACTGCTAGTACTACTCCTAGTATTACTACTGGTACTTCTAGTAGTAGTAGTAGTAGTAGTAGTAGTCGTAGTAGTAGTAGTAGTAGTAGTAGTCGTAGTAGTCGTAGTAGTCGTAGTAGTAGTAGCAGCAGGAGTAGTAGTAGTAGTAGTAGTAGTAGTAGTAATAGTAGTAGTAGTAGTAGTAGTAGCAGTAGTAGCGGTAGTAGTGAT